TTCTTCTATTTTACTTCAATACTCCCACGAAACCATAGACGTAATCAACTGAAATTGTTTGTGCATCGTCTATTCTTTTGGATTTGTTGATTCTGATTTATATAAAAAAAATCTCAAATGAATTTAAATCCGTCTGCGTTTTGGGTTCCATGTACTACTCTCACTTGGGATATTCGAAATATTGTGGGTGACAAAAAAAAAAAATCAAAAAAAAAAAAAATCTAGCGCAAACCATTGAAAATTTAAATCAAATTATTTATATTTATTGAGACATTTAGTCGGACGACAAGAAAATTACTATATGGGAAATACTTGTCATTGGATATATGATAGTTTTACATTAAAAAAAATTATTTGCAGAATTTAGTAATTCTCACAGTGCTGCTAATATTGTTTTATTAATTTAATGTGTCTTGAATAGTTATAGACCTTAATCTATGTGTCTATGCGGGTTATCAAGCTCTGCAAGTTAGGTCACGCCCATTAATAAGGTCATTACTTACTTACATCGTCGTCATTACGAAATTAAAAGATGGAAAAAATAGTGCAAAGATAAAAGTTTTATACTTAAAAAAATTCAACCAGACACTCTTATCTAGTGGAACTCAACTTTTTAAATGTTAACAAAAACGTGTGAATTTGTTGGTCAATTAGAAGGTTTTTTTAGGATCATGAACGTTTGTGATTGTAATGTCACAGTTAATATTGATTATAAGACCAATTGTAAAACACTTATAGAATTTTTAGGAACATTTCAAAGTTCTACTAAGGGTGTGTTGGACACGTACAATAAGCTAGCTTATAGCTTATTTGGTTAGCTTATAAGCTTTCTGTATCAAATAAGCCCCGTTTGGTAGGACGAGCTTATTTAAAAAGCTCGAGCTTATTTGATAAGCTTGTTTAGGTAGCGTTTCAAAATAAGCTAGTTGACTTTTTTATTTCAGCTAGCTTATAAGCTAGTTTTACCAAACACTTTTATCATATAAGCTATAAGCTATAAGCTAGCTTATAGCTTATCAGCTACCAGCTAGCTTATAAGCTATCAGCTAGCTTATCAGCTAGGTTTACCAAACACACCCTAAGGCTATGTTTGGTAAACCAAATAAGCTAGCTTATAGCTTATTTGGTTAGCTTATAAGCTTCCTGTATTCAAATAAGTCTCGTTTGGTAGGACGAGCTTATTTAAAAAGCTCGAGCTTATTTGATAAGCTTGTTTAGGTAGCTTTTCCAATAAGCTAGTTGATTTTTTTATTCCAGCTAGCTTATCAGCTAATTTTACCAAACACTTTTATCATATAAGCTAGCTTTTCAACTATAAGTCATAAGCTATAAGCTATAAGCTCGAAAATTACATATAAGCTATAAGCTAGCTTATCAGCTAGTTTTACCAAATATAGCCTAACGTTATTTCATAGTGTTTAATGTCCTATTGTTTAGCTTGTGCTAAGTCAATGTGTAACAGTAATGTGGAATTTTAAAGATATTGAGCCGTCGGTTCATTGAACCGACCATATATATTATCAACCGGTTCAAGTTAGACTTAAGCGACGGAACCGGAAATTGACCACGACGACATTTATCACGTAGAAGCCCATTTTCCGAAAAAAGTGATGTGAAATCAAATGAACAAAATTGACTCCACGAAAACCCCCCAATTGATTTAGTAGGGTTTAGGACCAACCTTCACTCCAGATTTCATGAGAACTACCCAGCAACAGATACGCAAGCTGCATCCATAGCCTGTATCTGTAGTTAGACATTGAGATGGACAAGCAAATTCTGACCCTTGATAAAGGCACCCGATGCACGGCTTGGAATTACAGTGGCCAGAGACTTGTTGCAGGCCTGGCTGACGGCTCCTTGGTCACATATGACTCTGCGGATCCAGCTTCTTCCGTTTTTACTTGTACCTCCAGATTTAAGGTCGGAAATTTTTTTCCTTCTCTTCAGCCCTTTCATATTTATTTTGAGATGCATTTGGAATGGCATTTACTTTAGATGTGTGTGGTGTTTGGCGGAAGGGCTCGGGGTTGTGACTTGTTCATTGATATGAAGAACTGTTTTAAGGATGTTTCTGGGTTTATGCATGTGTTGTTCATGGAATGTTGAGAAAGTCGGCTCTTTTATTTTTCTCTGTCTTTTTTGGTTTCTCAATAGGTCCATGAGAGCAGCATCGTGAAAGTTGTGTGGGTCCCACCGGAATATGGAGATGCAGTTGCTTGCATTAGTGCCGATGGGAATCTGTCTTTGTGGGAGGAGGTCTCGGAAGGTACTTTGTGAATTTACTTGTTTGTATTCTGTTTATATTCTAGGCTTAGCGTTGACAACTATTTGATTTCACCGTTTCTTGGAGACGATACACTTTTTCTAAGTGTGTTCTAGCTTGTTGTGGATACTTTGTTGCTGCCTTTTGTGTTGTAAGTGTTAAAGAGTAAAATAACTTATTTTTGTTCTGTTCATCCTTTAGAATCCAAGGGTTGTCACTGGAAGAAGTGCAAAAGCTTTGATAATGGTACCGGGCAGGTTCTTGATGTTCAATTCGGAGATAGCCAGACATGTCTGAAATTGGTTAGTCTTCCTATTACTTGCTTTGGATAGGCATTATGTTGTGCTGTATATCTTTTGCTGAAATCTTACTGAAATTCGGATGGCATTTACCGCCATCGGAGATGACGCATGATTGTATTTTATTAAACATAGAAAATTTAGACCGATATATATTATATTGAATGTAGTAAATACCCAATTAGTTTGTCGGGTTATATACCTTGCTGTTGCTGATGAATACTTTCTCGGTCATGGGTGCACATATAGATACTCAGTGAACTTTAGTGTTTATCATTTTATGCTATCAATCAACACTAAAAAACGGAAGGCTAATTGTGGTAAATATGTGGAAAATAGAAACATTAGCCCAACTTAATCTGTTCAATTCATATTTCATATTCATGATCTACTCCGTAAATTTTTGTACATAGACAAAAAAAACTTCAAATCTTTACTCATCCCTAAGTTCAATAAGTTTCGAATTCAATAATAGATGTGCATCTTGTGGCTTTTATTAGAAGTCCTAAAGCATCAGATATTCAGACCTTTTCCTTTTTCTTTGGTTTTGAATTCTTAAACAATTTTCTTAAAGATCCATGATGATAGCTAGTTGTCATATCCTTGACGTCAAGATAAGCTAATGCAGTAATTTTCTCATTAAACGAGTTGATGTGTGAAACTTTTATTCTTGGAAGGAAAGAAGGGGGGCATCCATAAACTGAGATGGTACCTGATATAGTCTTCCTAAAATAAACCTCCTATTTTATTTTCTTGCACTGCAGAAGTAAGCTTTGCAAGTCAGTAATGAGGTACATTTATGATGAACCCTGGTATCTGTACGCAAGTAAAAGAACAATGTTTTTTTTGATGTGATCTGAGTGTCTTTATTTTTGCATCTCTTTTGTTTTTAAGAGAATAAAATGTTATACTGATAAGGTTCTAGATGAATCTCAAGCATAAAAATGTGGAACAGTATGATGATGTAGAATTTGAAGGAAATTATAGTTTCAGGCTTGCCGAAAAATTAATAAAAGAGCAAAATAAATCTATGCTTCATTTGTAAAAAGTTTCTTCGTTTACATGCTACCCATCCCCAGTTCCACAACCTACTTTGTCCCTAAGTTGTCGTGTTGAGCTTTCTGAATGTACCTGGAAGTAAAAAGGGAAACATGCACAAGTTGAGATGTTACCTGATACAATCTTCCTGAAATATCTCATATAGTTAGTCATATAAGTATTCTCTAGCATTGCACTGGTAATAACTGCAAGTCAGTGATGTGATACGGGAACTCCGTACAAAAGTAGAAGAATGATGTTTTTCATGTGGATAGAGTATATTTAGTTATGCATCTGTTTTCACTGTAAGGGAAGAAAAAAGTAATAAACTGAAAAAATGTGAGAGATGAAGCAACAAGGTATGGCAAAATTAAAAAAAAAAAAAAAATATCAAGCATCTGTACGCTATTCATGATGTATTTGATCTAAAGCGTTTAAATTTTTCCGACGAAAGATCTACAGAAGCTTTGCATAGACTACTGAAAATTCAAGCATCGCCGCAAAAAGGTTCTGTTTCAGCATTTCACTGGTCTATGAGTTGTCAAGTTGAGCAGGGGACATTTCCTGTAACATTCAGAAAGATGTTGCACAGTAACTATTGCTTTCTATTTTAGGAGTATGTTTCTGCTCTTGTACTGCCATAAACTTTCTTAAAACCTGTGCGTTCACATCAATACATTGTAACTACTGTGTGTTCAACATCCACTATGTTTGTAAAAACATTCCAAGCATTTAAGTTGATTAAGTTTTGTTTGCTTTATTTAACTTTTTTGTGTTCTGTTCTACTTCTCCTTGTCATCTTTTTGCTTATTTTTGTTTTGTCAAGTGCTCTGTTGGTGAGAATGTAAAGTATTAGTGCTATCCATACTATTTAGTTATCCGGAGCCACTTCCAAAACAAACACGAAACTTATGCATTATCTTGATTAGATGAGTATGTTATTGATGCTAATTGTTCCTGAATTTTCATCAATGTAGGTAGCTGCATATTCAGATGGGCGTATAGAAATCTATGAGCTGCTAGATATGCTTGAACTGGAGAAATGGCAACTTCAGGTTTTTGTTGCTCTCAGCTGTTTTATTATGTAAAATATTCTTTTGCCAGGAATATTCCTTCTCCATCAAACTTTTTGGTTGCGAACAGAGCTTTTTCATATTTTCAGTTACATAGAGTGAACATGTTGAGTGTTAACTGAAGTGTATAGTGTCTAAATTTCCTCCCATTGCTTGGCGTATGATAAAGTTGGAATCTATAAGATATTGTAGCTTAATCTAGCCGTAAGTGTTTGCTAAAATAATGATAAATTTACAATCTATAAGATCCAGCTCAAGGAATTTTTCATGATCTTGCTAACATGATCAATATCCTCATTTTTAAAGGACACTTGTATCTTCAGGTTATATGTGAAGCTTGTATTTTATTTCCCATTAGTTATTCCAAATATAGATCCTCATAAAATACATTAGGTTGCATCTGATGGAAGGACTAGGTCTAAAATTTCAAATGAATACATGTAGGATGGATTTAAAAATCCACATAAGGATTTGAAACTGATCATATATTTGTATCTAATCAAGCCCAATATTAACATATTATTTGTTTCACCGTTGTTGGAAAACCATATTACAAAGTTTAATCTCTTGGATCTTTATGCCATTTGAATACTACTTGTAGGCTGAATTTCAGAATGTGATCGATTTGGTGTCCAAGTTTGGGAATGTTTCCTGCCTGTCTGCATCCATATCATGGAGCCCTCAAAGAAGTGAAGCCAAACAATCAAGCTTTGTGTTGGGCTTTGGTTCAAATACTCCACCTCTAAATTCTCCTAAGGTATAGACTTTATCACCTTTTCAAATCGAAGTTGCACTGATTTATTAGCTTTTTATGTAAACTATGGTGGTGAGCAGAATCAATGTGTGGTTGACTTGTGATGATATTACTAATGCCTATGTAATATTTAAAAGGGATCTCAGTTGTAGACATGCTTACATTGCAACTTCATCAGTGAGGTGCCTCTAGTTACAGCTGTTTTAGGCATGTATGTACGAGTTAATCATATTATTCAGTTTACAGGTTTGGGAGTTTGATCTGGATCATCAAAGATGGCTTCCAGTTGCTGAGCTTTCTTCGCCTGAGGATAAGGGTGATCAAGTTTATGCAGTTGCTTGGGCACCGAACATTGGAAGGTGTCATCTTAGACTAAATCATTACCCCCTTCTCTCTCTATTTATTAGCTGTTTTATACCTAAATTTTTTAAATTGGGAACAGAGCTTGAAACTGAAGGCATCTGCTCCCTTTTCTATTACTTTCGGTGTCTTAAATATCTAGTAACATTAGGTTAGTTGAAAAGGTGTTCTGTGCTGGTGGGAAGTATGTTGCACCAAAATGCGCACTTCAGTTACACATGTGGCAGCTTCTAAAAAACTGATTGAGGGAAAAAAAAATATGTACCATTAGAAGAGTTTGTTCTGGAGAACAAATGAAGTATGTAAAAGAAACAAGAGTCACAGTAGGAATACAACAATGCATAAATTTGGGTTGAGTTGTTTTTGTTGTGAAAGATGGAGAATTTATAATGAATGTTGTGCATTGTCATTTCTTCAGGGATTACGAACTAATAGCTGTTGCCACTCAAAAAGGAATATCAATTTGGAACCTGAGTTCAGAACCCGATCCGGATGGAAGGCTTTCAATGCAAAGAGTTGCATTGCTCTCTGGTCATGACAGTGAGGTATTGAAAATGCTTGTTTTGCGAGGTGATTTGAAGTTAGTTTCACTAGCAATCTACACCACAAGTATTAAAAATATATAATTTAGACATTTTCCCCTTTCCGAAAAGAGAAATGCCTGTCGAAAAAAAAAAGTGGAGTTTGAAACTATTTGTCATGATGAGGTAATAATTCCTCGTTGGTAGATACGATAATGTTTTCATTGTTGATGTGTGGTGGGCGCTAATAAGTGACCCAACTAACATGTAGATCTGTCTTAATCACAAAAACAGATTATTTAACTATCAAAAATTGCAAAACATGCTACTAAAACTCGACTTTGATATGCTGCATAGTTTAAAATGGCGACGCCATGGCGACGCCTCGAGGCGAGGCGACCGAGGCGAGGCCCACTTCGCCTCGCCACTGCCTGAGGCGACCCTGTTCGTGAGGCGCTCGCTTCAGGTCGCCTCGGCTCGCCTTTTCGCGTGGCGAGAGGTGCCTGTGAGGCGCGCCTCGGCGCCTTTCAGAGGAATTTAAGCGGCAGTCCA